CGAGAGGGACGCAGTGCCAGAGGAATCTCTGTGCACGCACCGTTGACTTCGGTGAAATTGCGGCTCTTTCTCACAGCGCACGCTGCAACACCCGTGCACTGTTTTAGGTGCGAAGCAGCTCTTTGACTAGACTGTGTAGCGCTGTCCCTCCTTCTACACCACTCTCCCCGGGCCGCAGGTGTTGGGGCAGTGCCAAGTAGGTCACGCCTTCTCTCGCAGTCTGCACGCGATGACGTCACTCGCTCCCTAGCCTGTCGCAGCGTGTCATCTCCCTCGCTTCACCCTCTCCACCGTTCGGAACGTTAGAGCGCACATCGAGCGAACAGTCTTTCTCGTTTAGAAATTCTCTACTCTCAGGAGTGGCGCGCCGCACGACGGGTGCTTGGTGCGACAGCTGCATAGTCCGCTTGGGGTGCCACGGCGGTTCCACGGTATAAAATCACGGAGCGCGTGCGCCGCCGTCTCTCCTGCACAACGCCGCGAATAACGCCAGCATCTACGCCGCCGCCAGTGTGAGCGTTAGCGCCAGCACAAGCTCTTAATAAAGGTACACCATCTGCATCTCAAACGAACAATCTCCCCACTTCTTCGCATCCACGCATGGTTCCCTTTAGCGGGAGATGGTTTAATTTTATTGAGATCACGGTGGCGCAAATCACAATGCTGTGCCACCATCTCACGACGTATTCGCAGTTTATTGCAACGAAGCCTGATTCGGTGTGCGCAAGTACGCAAGAAATTGAAATAACTATGCATGCATACTATATATTCATAAGAGACTGAAGACACAAATGATCCCCCCCTCTCCGCTAGCATACTTCATGATGGATTAAAAAAATAAATGAAGCGATGATGTGATTCTCACAATGGCCTGCTTTTGTTCCCTGGCTTAAATACATCTGGGAATATACAACAACCTCGCGCTGTTAAATGTGGCGTCCCGCAAGGCAGCGTCTTGTCACCGCTTCTCTTTAACAGCGTACTTGCTGGACTTCCAGACCGATTACCGCAAGAATGTGACTTCCCTATAGGCATAGCGCTTTATGCTGATGACATCGCACTCTGGGTCAGTGGTCCGTCACACCATGGTCCATGTCTTCGTGGTATATTGCAGCTAGCTCTGAATGCAACTTCAGAACACTTGGTGGAAGTTGGCCTGCAGGTTTCACCTGCGAAGTCAGCTGCCATCGCGTATCATCCAAGGCAATGCGCTCATCGAAGCCTTAGCAGGCTTTACCTCGAAAACACACCGATACAGTGGATACACCAACATCGCTACCTGGGTGTACCATCGATGATCGCCTTTCTTGGCGCCCTGCTGTTAAAACTGTGAGGCGAAAAGCGCTGTCCCTGTTCAAGTATGTAGCCGCCTTGACTGCTAGGGGGGAGGGCATTGATCAGAAGGCGGCACTACAGGTTTACCAATCAACTGTACCTTCTTGCGTGATGCCTTTGCCAGTTTTGAATGTGCCGCCTGCTTTAATGTCCCAGCTGGAACGGGATCATAGTGTTGCCCTCCGAGTACTGTTTGGCTTACCTCGTGAAGCACAATCCATCCCACTACTGACTGAAGCACACCAGTTGCCGCTAAAGCTGCAAGATGACCAGAGAGCGCTACATCATATTGAGCGTCTGAACCGAGCCCCACATGGCAAGACACTCCTTAACAGGCTGTTACAGTGCCCACTTTCTCAAATGGGTAAAATGGCGGCTTTGTTCAATGACATTACTGGCGATTCCGGCGAAACTATTCAGTTGCCAACATCGACAGAGCACAGGCCATGTACCTTCCCTACCCATCTGTCAATTCCAGGAATACGCAAAAAGTGTAGCCAACCTGTTTCGGAACTATACCAATTAGTCCATTCACACGTATTTGACAACTTTGAAGACTATGAAAAAGTATTTACGGACGCTTCTGTACGCAGCGATGGCCTGAGCGCATCTGCAGCTTTCTTCTGCCCTTCAACCGATATCAGACGGCTGTTTGAAATACCGCACCCCTCATCGTCGGTGACGGCCGAGCTAGCAGCGATTGATGTCGCCCTTAAGTACGTACAAGAAGGGTTACCAGCATCGAAGGTTGTCATCCTCACCGACTCTCGTGGTGCCCTTAGCACACTCACCTGCAAGGAGACCGACAGCCCTATTCTGAGCAGCATCATGGAATCCATTAACAATATTCTGTCACGTGAGGTATGCCTAGCTGCACAGTGGGTACCTTCGCACGTGGGTATCGCGGGCAATGAATACGCGGATCGCCTTGCTTCGTCATGCAATGCATGATGAATGTGACTGTCCGGGAATTCTATGTACGATGGACAACGCTCGTCTGCTTAAGCGCCGACACCTCCTAAAGCAGCACCCAGACCAGCGTGTGGCGAATGGATCGTTCCCTCCCCGTGATCGTGGCCGTGGCTTGCCTCGTAGTTCCCGAGCACAATTCTACAAACAAAGAGTGGGCTCTGTGCTGGTGCGTGAACGATTACACCGTCAAGGGCGTGTGGACTGCCCGTTGTGCGCACCTTCTGGCTCCTGCGAAACACTTGAGCATCTCGTAGTGCACTGTCCCACATTTTCTACGCAGCGGTCTTTGATGAAGGAAAATAAATTCCTAGGACTCAAGTGCGCGACCCTAGACGGCTACCTCTTTCCGAGTGGTAGTGCTTCCCGACGCGACCAGGCCCGCCCAGCTCTCCTTACATTTATGAACCAAACGGACCGGGCCACCCGTTTATAGACAGTCTTTTTTATTATTCTTTTTTCTTTATTATTTTTTTCTTCTTTATTATTTTTCATTTTTTACTCATACTTGTCGAAGTATACGTCATTTTTTTCTCTCTTCCTCATCTTCTTTCCCTTTTTTCCCATCTAATCTTTGTTTCCTGTTTCTCTCCTCCACCCGAAAGAGTGAGCAGGCGTTGTGACACTCCAGGTGGCAGTTGCCAGCTTGCTCTCTCCCTCTTTCTTCTGTGTCCTTGTGTATCTGCGTATGCAAGTCAAATAAATATACAACATCAAGGGCTTCCGGTAGCCATTATTGTAAAAACCTGATCTTTGAGCTGCTTCAAGACTAGCATGGTTGTTCATATTCAAGCATACGCCCTCACAACGTTCATCGTCAACAACATTTTTAATAACATTAGAATTCAACATATGTTCATGATTCTCTGCTTTCTACAGCCTCATTGTACAATGGCTTTAGCAATAATCAGGTACTAAATTTCTCATCTCGTTCATTCCTTAATGAGTGTAACGAAAAGAAGCATAATAACCGAAATAAGTTTAAAAATCACAATGTCATACTTCTTTTTATGAGGAATCCTGTGATTATATTCGCGTGGTGTGATTTGAGGAAAGTTAGGAGAGGACTTGCTTTTTTTGCCTTCCACGTAACCTGAGAAAGCAGACGTTAGTAAGGAGATGATGCCTGTTTATAACTGGGGCTAAAACGGTGAGCATTCGATATAATTTGGATGTATGTATTATCATTGGTGTTGAGACAGCTTAGACTCAATCTTGCTTCTTTAACGTATTTTTGCTAACTATTTTGACAAATGTAGCTTATGATGGTACATAGCAATCATATATAAAATAATGTTCATAATGCACGACGTTACACAATGCCCCGTGGTGCTCGTACGTGAAAAAGTTCACAAGATTGCCCATGAAACTCGCATAAATACATGGGATCCGGTCCTACATGAAACGCAATTAATGTCACAGAATGCCACAAAAGTTCAGCTTGCGTAAATTGCATGAAGCCAGCTAACAACGTTTCAAATACTGACCCAGACTGTCATCTTTCATCTTACGCGATGAAAATGAAGGAATTTAACTCAGAATATCGACTAAAGTCAAGGGCTCGGCACCTTACTAGTGCTCTAACATCTCCTTGTATACATGTCATATCAATAAAGAAGTTTGAGTCGTAAAATCGTGTTTATAGTTTGGTTTCGTCTTTCGCTGCTGTGATGTCCTGGCCGTAGTTCAGCTTCGAATCATTGCAGCCTCGCAATGTAGTGCTTACCGCCGTTCATATAAAGTATCCTCCTGCTCTATCACGTAGTTTTGTGTTGAAGCTGCCACATTAACAGAGATACGACAGGCGTTTTCTCTTCGCGCAGAAGGTGAGAGGAGATATAGGAGAAAGAACAAGACCATGATTATGAAAAACTAAGCTTAGATGACGGCAGAGACGGCGTATGGCAGTGAGAATGACCGACTAAAAACTATTTGGTCCACAATATACGAGATTGAACTCAACAACACCTGGTTCGGCCAAATCGGGGATGGTCAGGTTAAACCTGACCACCCTCGCACGGGCGCGGCAGTTTGACCAAAGAGAGTGCAGGTCGCGCTAATGAACAAAGGTAAAAAACCCGAAATATTGTGCGCGGTATCTTCAATTAGATGGGAATAAATCAGCCATAATGCAGCATATTTAAATTACACGCAGCTATTCGGCAGCTGCCGGGCTTGTACGATCATTTCGTCCAGAGCGTTCATTCCGCAGGATCTATCGTGGCCTAAACAACGTTATTGTGGTATAAATTATCCAAATTATTTCTTTTACAAGCTATGTTCATTCGGTGTATCAAAATCAAAGCACTGTAAGCGTTTTTACAGCCTGCCGCCATCGGCAATTCGACTGTCGCCGCGGGAAGTCGAACCTGTGGCCCCCACACAAGAGGGCATGGAAAATTTCCTGATCTTGCGGGCCGTCAGACGCCTGCTACAGCTGTATATGTTACACGGGCATTCAATAAACAGCGCCCGTTCGCTAAGCAGCCGTCGGCATTAGCCGGCCTCTTTTCTATGCGCGGCGCACGAGCAGCTATAGGGTTTTTCGTGGTTGCCTCAGCCGCCGAGCGCTGACAAATCCGGCACCCGCCGGGCTGCAGCGGGTGAATGAAGATCAGTTACACTTTCGCAACGCACCCAGGGCCAAACATCCGACGCCGCTGGTGAAGGGCGTCGCTTGATGTTCCGCCAGCATGCCCCGGCTTGGGCAGAGCAGCCGCAACGGCGCATACTCGATTTCCAGTGCTTCGGAGCCCCGGCGGTGTTTCCGAGAATGCGCGCGCCATGCTCCTCGCGAGGAGACGGCCTGGAGTGTGTAGCGTCGCCACTGCAGTTTCCGCGGTGCGTGCATGGTACGTGCTCGTTTCACGCTCTTGCTTTTTTTTTTTTTTTTTGAGGCGCCGAGAGGCGACGCACGACTTTCCTCTGCGTCGATTTCTGACGCTTTGTAGCGCAGCCAGTTGCATTTTTATGCACTCGCCGCGCGCATCTAACGGGCGAGGCACGCACTTCGCACCGAGACGTCGCTTACGTGTGCAGAGCGTTATCGGGGTCTAGGTCGGTTTGGCGCGGTCTCGTACACCGGCATAATCGCCGTGCTAGCCTCGATACGGTTAGGAAGCCCATCCTAATTGATCTGCCCGTCATGGCGGCGTGCTTATGAGAGTCTGACTTTAGCTTCGAGACGTTGGGCATCAGCGATAACATCCTGATTGGACTGATTTCCCATTAGTTTCGCTGCTCCAGTTTCACACTTCTCATGCGGGTAGAAGATGAGGAACACATTAGGATACTTCGCAATCGTTGTTCGGAGTGGCATTAGGATATTGAGGGCTCGAGTAAGCTACTCTTTAAAAATCATCAGCCTTTCAAGAAGTGAAGACAAATGAAATATGAAGGAACTTGCTGGGTATATCAAACAAATTTTGTGTTTGGGGGCACATAATTCTTCAGAGCCTACAAGTGTGCGCATCATGTGTTGCCGTTTAATGTAACTAAAGTGCCAAGTTACACATGTTCTCAGTGACCATTAATCACTGAAATTTCCTAGAGCTCATGGCGTTCGCAGTAAGACCGTTTACCCTCCCGGTACAACAGTGTTCATGAATGCGTTCATGGTGGCAGTTTGCGCATGCAAGAGTTACAACAAGTGTCTGCATCCCACTTTATTATGCCGCCGCATACAGTGTGGTTGCACCTGCCTGAACAGAGAGAAGCTAAAGTAACGTATAACTAGAGCTCCACGTTTTCCAATTAATCCGAAAGAATTTGATAAACATGCGCCTGTAAATATTTCGGCAATTCAGATTTCTTCAATTTACTTCGACTTTAAGAGGGCATTTGCAAACGTTCAAAGGGCACTTTCAAAGCTGAGAAGCATCATTCCAAAGGAGGGCAGATCCATCAGTAACTTCGTAAAGTACGCTTGCGTCTATCACAACAAGCTTTGATGTAAGGAGAACAAACGCATGTTTTTTGTATTGAAGTATTTGTACTTACGTGTATACATGTTTGTGTGGTCAAACCTTCCAGACATGTTCCCATAAGTTTGTGGTCAGATACCATGTCATCAAAGGTTTTGTACTACTATTTTTATTATTATTTTTATTATTATTATTATTATTATTATTATTATTATTATTATTATTATTATTATTATTATTATTATTATTATTATAGGTACTATCAAAAGAAGATGAGGGAGACCGGGCGAAAAAAGCTGAGGCGCAGTTTTACAAGCACCTGTCCCCCAAAGAAGACTTTGGCGATTATACAGCAGAGCACATATACAGTCTATTAACAGGGTAAATAAACAGCAAGTGAGAAAAAAATGAAATAATGGAGAAGCAGAATCATCACAATGAATACATGAATAGAAAGCAATCCATTTGGAAATAATTATCAGTAAGATCACATTGCAGCAACTTATAATGCAAAATTAAATGCCGAATTTTAGAGCATTCGGGATTTACGAGAAATAAACGCCGTTCCCCCCCCGCCCCTCCTAAAAGAACCTCCGAAAAGCACCTTCTGACTATCGAGAAAAATAAACTCGGAAAACGCGGAGTTATCACGAGGGCATTCATTAAAGTGGTGCGTGCGGACGTGTAAGAGTTACACTGGTTAACTATGCTCAAATGTGTGTTGACCATCTCCGCCTCTCCCCTCCTATCACGCTAACGACGTGACGCTCATCGAACCCGTCAGTTAGCAGACATTTTCGAAAGATTCACCGATGTACTCGCAGCTTGTACCCGCATCACGCAACTTGCCTATGCACGCCAACTGTGACTGCTCGAGTTCAACATGACTTTCCTCCACAACAACGTCTGCTGAATATGGGCGCAACTATAGAAAACTATGCACTGAATGACAGAGAGCTGAGCTATAGTTGGCACGCATTCATTCTGGAAGAGGCGGGCCGGGCGTGCAAACACGGACCGAAGAAGAAAGTCAGAACACCACAAACACTAACAACCGAAGAAGCGCTCTACGGCGGAAAAGAAAGAGGGCATGGCAACTTATCTGCGCATGCTCAAGCAATACTCGAAGCTATCAATCTGGCATGCAAGGTGGTATACGTAAAAGATGACCGATTTTATTTTTATGCAAGTTAATTGATGGCTGGCTCACACATGCGCAACCACTTGTACAGAGTAACACCTGAGCGGGCCAGCGGAGTAGCGGAAGGGCATGTGGAGCGCCAGATAGAAGGAAGAATAATAGCCGAGCCAATGATCCGCTTGTTTATGCGCAGACAGAGCAGTAGAGTTACTGTACCTAAAGGTAGCATATGCAGTAACTCTACAGCGAAGCGCTTTGCTGCGCCACCTGTTGAAGACTCTTGAAGATACCGTCGATCGAGCAGACGCTTTACCTGGAGAACGCTCGCACGCTAGTCCGCTCCGCACGCTCTGCTGAGGAGACGAAATGAGCGGACGAGTGGCCTGCTTCGTAATATCGCTGGCTCGCTCAGCGTGCTGCGCACGCGCAGTTGGCGTTCCACTCGTTCGCTGGGCCCGCTCGGCTATATTACGCTCTGTTATCGATATGCCATGCCTCAATCTTTGGACGCATTTTCTCAGTCCTCCGTCGGAACAAAATTGTGAATTCATGGCAATTTGGCGTGCACTTGCACTCTCGAGAATGTAAAGAAAGATTAGAAGGTGAGCCTCCGGTTAGCGGTCTCTGATGTTCCAATAACCTCTGGTTACTGCAGCGGCCCATCTGTCCAGAAAGATACCCTAAATATTAACACTTCTACGGCAGTCAGTGAAATTCTTGGCGTTTTTACGAAACAAATATGGGTCCGCTTCTTGTATTTTACTCATTCTTTCTCTGCATAGTGACGCAAACCTTACATATAGCTTATTAACAGCCCTAACAACAACCTTATCTGCTTCCAATACTTATTTTCTTGTCGGTGAGATGCGCAATGAACGCACGGAATACCTGCAATACGTATTATTTCTATAGTTTTAATGCCTCTTTCCTACCCGCCGTTGTGCGCACCTTCTGTTGCTTCTATAGGCGTTTGTGGTGTCCCGACTTCCTTCTGGTGTCCGTGTTTGCACGCCCTGTTTCTGTCAGCATGACAAGCGGACTTGTCTTCCTCAAGGATAGAACAGACCTGATAGCCTCTGTTAGCTTTGAGGAAGACAAACGTTCGCTCGACACAACGCCCCCTATACGAATTTTTTGTCATCGCAAGCTTCCATTTTCTCCTTCCTGCCATTTTTTGTAGTACTTGCTGCCTTGAGAGCCACAAGCACTCATCAATTTTTTTTTTGAACCAGTGGTACCAACCCAAGGTTGAGTCAATCTTCATTATACCCACGAAGACAAAAATTCTGACTTCTATGAAAGTTTGCTTTAGGGCTTCTACAAAACTTTCCCACTTTTGCTTCACCGGTTATTGCACAGGTCGTTTCCTACATCCACTGCGTTTCGCATCAAATCAAGAAGGCCGCTGAAAGAGTGAGCGTTGAAGTTGTATTGTGAGCGCCCAGCGAGCTGACAAGTTTTTGTATAGGGTGCGTTATACCATGGCACGAGGAGTCAAAAATACGGTTAACAAAATATGATAATATACGATAGTGCAGACAAAGGACATGAACAAGATCAGGTACATTCAAGACAACACAGCGCTAACTTTCAACAACCTAACTATCAACCACTAACTTAACAAAAACCTAACTTTCAACCGCTAACTTAACAAAAACATAACTTTCAATCGCTAACTTTGTTGAAAGTTAGCGCTGTGTTATCTTGATTGTGCCTGCTATTGTTCATGTCCCTTGTCTGCGCTACCATATATTATCATGCTACCATACCAACAAGCCCAAATAGCCATGCACCCTCGTATACGGTTAACAAAATGTAATTACGGGGTTTTGCGTGCCAAGAATGGTGTGTTATTTATTGTGGTGCATACCGTAACAGGCAACAACCATAACGCCGTAACAGCGATTGACTTTGATTAGCTGGGTTTACTTAGCGTACACCAAAGATTAACAGGTTGACAAGTCCGGCTATAGCATGGTTAAGGTTCATGCGTGAACGAATGTTGAAGCGCACAGGTGCGCATGCAAAATGTATTAGAAACGTGCTGTCTAGCCTGCTTGTTTTGTTCGCTTTAGCAGTGTGCTTCAAGATCCGTTAACATATGCGTTCCTAAGTCTACGCACCTGGGTGTTTGCCTTTCGCCCCCATCAAAATACAGCCGCCTTCGCCGAGAATCGAGGTTGGATATTCAAGTTTAGCAGCAACACATCAGTTAGGTATACGGCAGTTGGTTCAAGAATGTATGCGTCGTTTATGCCAGGCAGGCGCATCAAAGACCTTCGTGAATCGTGCTCTCATGCAGTCTCTCTCTCTATCCCCCCCCTCCTTCCTATACTGTGAAAAATGCCTACCTTTGGCAGACGGGTCGTTGTTGAAACCAGCGGCTCTCTAAACGTGCCAACAACTGTCGCCTCAAAATGTAGCAACATGCTTGGCTCGTCACTGTAGTGCCTGAGGGTGTGCGGCAAACGTCAGAAGGTCTCAGGTGGCATGGCGCTATCATAACACATATGCTGACCTAATCATCCACGTGTGTACGCTGTCAAGGCAATGAAAAAAAAAAGATGACGATGCATGCAAGTGCGAGCACTTTATCGTAAATTCTAACAAAACGTAAACATTATAGTGATCGTGACACGGATCGTGCACTTGGCACCTCGCATATTCTTCATCGTACAATCGTTTTGTCTTTCGACATTTATTCTTGCAGTAGCATGTGTTTCTTTTTTTTTATTGTGGTCTCTGCGATAAAACATTCAAGTTATTAATTAGTCAGCACCTATTCTTG